TTCAAAAACTTATCAAAGGATGGATTAAATACTAACACTTCTCAGAGAATGGCGTGAACTAGCCTGACCATTGAAGATTCAAGTAGTCTGGACTGGAGTGCTTGCAGCCACTGGAAGCTTCAGGGGTAATAGAGATGCACTACAGTTGCACATATTGAAGTTTTTCTTTGGAAAACTTGGGAATAAGTAAGTGTCTTTTCAGTCACAGGATGACTATATGTGCCATGTTTACTGATTGGGCTGTGGTATTACACAGTTCCCTCATCTGAGCAGCCTCACTGAAGTCCCCAGGTGTGAGGAAGGGGACTTGCAACTACGTTTGCTGGTTATATTATATTGTTTTTTTCCCATGCAGTGTTCATTAGATCATTACTATGTCAGATTAGGAATAGAAATTGAGGGAATTACACAGGTGAGACTGGAGGAACACAGGACTGTCATTACTAATGCTGATATCCAGAAAGAGAAGAGCCCTGTATGGCCACCATTCAAAAGAAAACACTTGCATTTCTTTTGTTGGTTTCACACCAAGTCATTACAACATTCTTGTTTTACAAATAGAGTCTGTGAAACAGTTGAAAGTAAAACACCGTTCCAGTGATGTTTCTTTGTTCATAAGACTTATTGGTAGGCTCATACCAACTGAAGGAACCAAAAGGAAGCACACCCCAACTAGGGTGCGACCCGTTATGGACGCCGCGTCTCGGAGGAGGCACGGGCACGATCACTGACACCAGATGGCAGTGCGGACGCGCACTTGCCAGCCTTCAACCTGCTCCTAAACCTATTCCTTCCAACCAGTTTGTCTGAAGGTGTTATTTGGCATACTTATACTGTAAGCCTTTAGCTAAAAATGTGCACAGACTCATACATATGTACATACACAATTCCTTACATTTCCTAGAACTACTGCTTCTTGCAGCTCCATTTCCGATATGTAACATTGCATTGTGGAGCACTATGCAAGTGAAATTTGCAAGGAAAAAGAGGTAAATTTTACCTTTTTTGCAGGTGATGTCAGTCATCTTTTGCAAAATAGTCTCAGAACTTTCCACAGTGAGACCCCTGGTGTTCTTTAAGACCATTTGAGCAGAATATTCCACCATTACTCAAAACAATGATATTGAAAAAAAGGCTTCAACTCATAATTCAATTCTGAAGTCACAGCTTGCTTGAAGATTTTATGCCTTCATTATTCATGCACAATTAAGTAGCTATCAGGATGGTATAAAAGCAATTTGTTTCATAAAGCTGGCATTAAGCAGTTAAATGTAATAATTAATACACATGCATGAATTATAAATCTTTTCCCTTCTCAATGAGATGTATTGTTTTCCTCAGTCTCTTCAGAGAGATCTCTTCAGATCCCAGCTCCCTAAATATATGTTTGCCATCACACACACATGTGCAGTTTTACATAGTAATATGAAACTATAATTCTTTTGATTTTCTAAAACGATACAGCAATGAAAAGACAGTGAGCTAAAAATTCAATGACATACCTTAAAGTGTGAAGAAGCTGTTCTTTATAGGATCTGCAAAGGTGTGAAAGCTGTATAAAGGCCAAGACTGATTTTCATATGATAATGTGATACTTTCTCTTGCAGAACTTGCAACACCCGGAAGAATTTTAAAAATTGTTGTTTTAAAAAACAAATCCGGAATGACCTTCCAGTAAGAATCTTAATAAGCCAAGTCCTTAAACCAAAAATTGAAGTTAAAATATTTAAATTTAAAGCTGTTTTAAAATTTTTTAAATGTCTGTCAATTATTATGTCAATGTAGCTATTCCCAAAGGAAAAAATGAGAGAAAGCAAGATTTTTTTCCTTATTTTCCTCTTTTTCAGAGGAAAAAGCTTTTTGCCAGCCCCGTAATAATTTCTCCAGACCACATACATGCACACTCATTGTGGTGAACCATTTCATACTCAGTCCACTCTAATTCTTCATCGCTTTCTGACAATACTAAGGATTTGTGCTTTGTCCTGCTTTCAAAGATTATTGTTGACTTTCCTCCCCAAACAGATCTGTTCCCTTCTCAAACAGATACGTAAAAAGGCCCTGTGGTGTTCCTTTACCCTTAAGTATGCCGACTCAAGTTAATGACTTAGCCTAACCTAACCAAGTTCTACAGAGATGTAGCAACAAGATCATCTTTGCATTATATTCTGGTCTGCTTGAGTGCTGTGCCCCAGCAGCTCAAGAAAAGTTGCTTATTTGAAAAGGAATTGATAGCTGTCAGAAATGGCAACTGCATTATTTTTATACTATAATATTTCCAAATCAGGCACGTAGCTTTGCCTGTCACTGCAGTCTGTATTCTAGGAGGTACAGTAGAGCAGATCCACTACCACATTTATTATATCAACAAAATCCATAGATAACACACAAAAAATCATGACTGGATTATTAAATCCTTTGTGAACTTTATTGCTATACTATTCCACCATTGTGTAACTGAATTGCTTTACTTGCAGTTCTTAATGCTTGTCCAATTTGGTTTTTAGCTTTTCTTTTTGGAAGGCTGCACATGATGCCTCAAGGATTGCATTCAGTTCTCTTTTCAAAGTGGCAAAGGAAACACTTTCAGAAAAAAAAAGAAAAAAAAAAGAAAAAAAAAAAGAAAAAAAGAAAAAAAAGAAAAAAAAAGAAAAAAAAAGAAAAGAAAAAAAAGGAATGTTTTCACATGGTTATTATTAAATTTTGCATGTCTCGTGGTCTTATACAAGAAAAAAACAAGCCCTAGGTTGTGATATACATTTGAGCTATGGTTGGTAGTGAACTGGAAAATTATAATGGATAGGCTATTCCATGGAGCTCAGATAGACTCCCAGCAAGATTCACTGTCTGTCTTACTGAAAGCCTGAAAGTACGTAAAAAATTTTTAAGTCTGACAGGCAGGATGTTTGCTGTCACTGGCAGCAGGGAAGTAAAAACTGGTCTGAGGGAAAGGAAGGTTTAACTCAGAATGAGGCTAACAAATCCAGAGGGTAGAGCTCAGGTTTTAAACTGGCTGTAAGTACATTTTTTGGATGGCTTATCATTGTAGCTCCACATGCTCGAAATAAATGGTTTAAAGATTATCATGTCTTCTGAAATTTATATTC